CATTGCAAAAACAAGATTTAATTAAGTTGTAACTGACAAGGGCAACAAGGCAATGCCCTGACTTGGTGAACACTGCTGCAGAACCCCAGCTAGGCAGCATGAGACACCACACAGAAGTTCATCCTTGCACTCCTCCATGGGCTATGTTTTTGCTTCAATGTAGGGAGGTGCTGAGTGTAGGATAAGATCTTCTGGGGGAGGAGAGAGGAGGGGGAATTGGAAGGACACTCCTCTTCTACCTCCTACTTGGTCAGTATAAAAGTGGCATTTGATAGAGGCCTGGGAGAGGTCATCTTGTTTGGGAGAGAGACGTAGCAAGCGGGTCTAGGAAAGCAGAGCGTAAAATGGATAAATATCAGAGTGTGAGAGCTTTGTCCTTAATAATAATAAATAAAAATAATAATCCTTCCTTTTAGTTTTGTGCCTTATCACTTGGTTGAGGCATCTCAACGCATTTCAGAGTGTAGTGTAAAGTGGATTGATTGACTGAAGGCAGCATTCCTTGTGAGATGTGGAAATCTGTGGGAAGTGATTACACTCTAAATCTGAATCACTACTCCCAGTGTAGGAGTTGAGTCATTAACTTCGTAAAGTATCATTTATTTTTCTTTGATGAACTTTAACTCTGCACAGGCTTGAGTTAAAGTTTTCATGTTGTTTTATCAAGCAGAGCTTCTATGTGCCTCTGTTTAGTTATCTATAGTTAATTTATTGGGATTGATTAGAATCCCATTGAACCAGTTTTCTAAGTTCAAAGATACCCTTAAATTTAATCTTAATGAAATGATGTGGCTCCTGTCTGTCCCTAATATAGTTTTTCTAAATGATATGGTGACTGAACAGATAATGCAAAAGCATGGGAGAGATTCAGTTCATGAGTTCTTCAATGAAACTCTACAGAAAGTTCAGGATGTAACAAAAATATTACACTAAAATTCAGATTGCATTCAAAATGTCAGTGTTACCAACTGAGCCAGCTGACAGACCCATTATTGTCAAAATTATAATATTAGTAACTTTAGTGAAGGGATTTAGTTTATTTTTTTAAGAAATATATAATACAAAATTACATTTCAGGTCAGGAGGATGTCCCAACACACTTAAAGGGAAAATATATTCACTACATTTAAAAGCCTCACGTTAGTTGTGCAGTAGATGACTGCTCTCAGGCTGACCCCAACTGCCAGTTTTAAAGCACATTATAGTTATTAAGGGCAACACAGATTTTTTTTTAGAATTGGGAGATAATTCAAGGGAATGGGTTTTCCTTTGAGTGAAATTATTTGATTTTGTAGAAATTGCTTTTGTCAATACAGACAATATGGGCGAAGACTATGACATTTCAAAATAATAATCCTTGCATTTGCTATAGGACCTTATCACACCTTTGAGACGTCTCAAATTGTGTTAGATTGGTGGGATAATTATAATTTCTGCTGATAATTATCCACTGATTTCAGGGCTAAACTCTCAGGTACAGTGCTAACTTAAGAAAAAGAAGTTCTATGAAGTCATACCTGTCACTAAAGTACTCCCCTTCTCTCTTTCTCGTTCGCTCTCTCCCTCTGACTCTTAACTTTTTTCCTTTTTTTAAATTATTATTATTAATCTACTGCACTGGTGATTAATGTAACCCATGACCACTTGTGGGCTGCCTCCTCTTCCCTTGTAGTCATCCAAAACCTGCTGCTCTGGTCTCCACTCTAAGTCAGCTTAGCTGTGAGATTCATTATTGTTCCTTCTAACTGTTCTAATTCTCCTGACTACACAAACCAAGAGAATGGGATTTCCCAGTAAGGCTGTCCTAGCTTCCAATCAGCCAAGAAAAAGGGTCTTATTAAAATCCAGCTTCATATAGAGCTTTTTGTCCTGTGGTTTTCCTTTCCTTTTCTATTAAATACGTTCTTGCCGACTGCCTCTACTATCATAGAATTATTCAGCGCAGAAGAAGGCCATTTGGCCCATCATGCCTGTGTCGGCTCTTTGAAAAGAGCTATCCGAGTCAATCCCACTCCCCCGCTCTCTCCCCATAGCCCTGCAAACTTGTCCTCCCCAAATAATTATCTAATTCTCTCTTAAAAGTTGTTACCGAATCGGCTTCCAACACCTTTTCATTAGTGGTGGATGCCCGATAGTACTTCAGTGTAATCAAAGAGCTCATTACGTTGACATTATCCTGTGCTACACCTGCTGCCTCGCTGACCATCACAGATTTTGGTTTTGCTAATTTACCTCAATGTACAGCCACTCTCCTTGTCCCACCATCAGGTAACTCTTGAGTGACCCTGAAATATGTTCCCATTTCAGACAGTTATCCCATGATCACTGCTGGAAAATTAATGTATAAGGACTTCAGTCGACCACAGAGTTGGCAATTAATGCTGATCAGATTGCCAACATTTACTTTCCTGGCTCGTGCACGAATGGGGATATTGGGTGAGGTATCGGAAGGCTGTAGAAAGATATGCCAGTAAGAGGTAGCATTTTTCACCAGAGAATGGGTGAAGATCGCAAAAGAAAAAAGAAAAAAAAATGATTCGGACTAAAAGCAATTAGTGGAATACTTGTTGAGCAATCTTTAGAAAATTGTTAATAATAATATAGCCACTGCACATTCCAACCAGTGCAAATCAGTGATGCGTTCACCTTGATAATACATCTCTGACCATCTCTCATTGGGTTGCAGGGTGAAGAGTGGGCTGGAGTGTGGGTGTTAAGAAATAAAATGTAATCTGCTTATCTTCAAAACCAGTTTGCCAAATTTCAAGAGCATATAATGAATAAACATCTAAGATACTTTGCAGTGATAATTCACATGAGGGACTCTGCAGTGAGCATCAGCTAGCAATTCATCAGTGGGATGGGACAGCAACAGTCTTATCGACACATGTACATATTACTTTAGGGCCACTGGATAATACCTAACATAAAAGTTGAACTAGTTGCATTCTTCCCTTCAAATTGTTGTTCTGAATCAAAAAATGATGAATTTGCTTCTAATATTTTAGGATTTCCCATTCCTTTGAATTACAACTCAAAACGCACAGAATACATAGTCATTACACTTTACATTAAATCTTCTGAAGAGCTTTGCAACGTCCTCTAAAAGAGGAGAGGCACGATATCAAATGCAATCCTTATTAAAACCATCATTGCATTTGCATACTCATGCTATCAACAAAGTGGGTAAACTTGTGACAGTTTAAAATAGTTTTGACTTTGTTTAAGTCGCTGGTTTTGTAACCGCTTTTGTATTTTTCAAGTTTATGCTTGTCAGTCAGTTTCTGTGTTATCTCATCAGTTGACCACATCTCCAGTTGCTTTGTTTTCAAGTTAGGTCACTGCCATTTCCTGGTTTCGGGACCTATTTTTCTGTTGTGGGGCCTTGTTAGAGACCAACACCCACTTGAAGTGTTTGTGCCTTCTCCCTACAAGGCAGAATATCCAACACTGTATAGTCATTTCAGGTCTGTGAGGAGAACTCAGTGTGAGCTTTCAGTTTATCAGGAAGAACTAGGAGCACAAGATAGCTTCACTCAATTCAGTCCTAATTCACTTGCTGAGAAGGAGTTCAACAATGTGCACTTCTAAATAGACTGAACATAAGATTTCAAAACCTTTCACAAAGATCCATGAGCGGGGAGGAAAAGAGTGGGGGGGGGGATAAATGTCACTAGTTGTAACAACGTTTTGAGCTGAATAAATAAAACATTGTGCTGGACTTCTAAATAAGGTTTTCAGGACCCAGATAGAAAGTTACACACCTACAAGTATCGTCTCTGCAGCTGTAAGGTGTTCTGTTTTCAGGAGGGTTACAAGGACGAGGGTAGGTAATCGGTTTTCATACATGTGTGGAATGTTGTTGGTCAGTGGAATAGAGAGTTGTAAGGTTGTATTGATGTCCTGAAGTTTAGCCTAATTACCTTCAGGGATCAGTGAATGGTGAGAAAGTTTCCAGCGGTTAAATGACCTTTCTCAGGAAATTAGTTGGATCAATAATAATAATTTGGTCCCTCAATCAATGACTGGTTGTGGGACACTGTGTATTGACTATGTATTCTATACGTTTTGGGTTTTAATTCAAAGGAATGGGAAATCCTAAAATACTAAAACCAATTTCATCAATTTTTTATTCAGAACGACAATTTGAAAGGAATTATGCAACTAGTTCAATTTTTATGTTAGGTATTATCCAGTGACCCTAAAATAACATGTTTGTGGGACACTGCTGTGCGAAATTGGCTACCGCATTTCACCCACAAAATACAGTCAATTCACTTTGTGGTATATTCTGTGAGCACTTTGACGTGATAAGGCGCTATATCAAATGCAAGGATTATTATTATTATTATCATCAAGTGGAGCCATTGATAGAGCCGATTTTATAGGGAACGGACTGGATATGCTGAATGATGTGCTCAAATCCCATACTTTCTGATTATGCCCTGAAGCACACCCCATAAATGTTTTTTTATTATCAGAAAATACGATGCTAAGATAATTAGTCAGATTCAGAGATTTTGAGATCAAGTGAGCTGGAGAAAAGGTGGAGTGACTCTGATGGTAGAGCTCATGGTATGAGTCAAGTTTGAATCTTAAACAACAACAACAACAAAATTACATTTGTATTCATTACATTTCAAGTCAGAAGGAAGTTAGATAGTGGTTCTGGGCTCAGGAGTAGGTGAGGAGACATATTAAGTCACAAAGTAGACCTGATCCACTCTATCAAGTGTGTGTTTCAGCCAATGTAGACAGTGTTCGTGTTGCCTGTGGTTGTTTTTGGAGATTATTGACCCACTGTGAAATTGTATCTTTATTTTGCAAGATTTTTGGCATTGATCCCTTCATTTGCTTTTTGTCACATACAACCAGAATTGGTGATTGGTTGCCACGAGCTCTGGCAATGGTAACAAGTGGGGAGCATTCCGACCTTTGCTGTTGTTCCAAACGTTGTTTCTTGAGAGCTCAATAACGTCTTTCTCTCTTTGTTTTTCCAGTTTGGTAATGAGGAGCAACAACTGGAGTGGGCAAAAAGGGAGAGCGAAAGAGCAGAGCGTGAGCGATTAGAGCGGTTACGAAGGCAAGAACAAGAGGACCTAGAACTTGCCATAGCACTCAGCAAAGCAGAAATGTCCAATGTGTAAATAGCGCCCTGGTCCATTGAATCAAAGGCATGCGAGCTGTTACAACAAAGTGCAAACGAAAATGGAAGGAAAAGAAAGCAAACTGGTTGGACACTGGACAGGAACTCTCAGCCCCCTCTCGTCGAACAGTATCTAAACAATCACTTGTCCGGGCCAGTGGAATAAATCCCGAGGACTCCATGGGAGCTGCAAAAGGTGATGCACTAGAAATGCACTGTGTAATTAACAAGAGAAAAGGCTGTACTATTCTCAGTGAATCAGTGATTCCAGCTCCTATGTTCATGACGTATGCACATGAAAGACTTGAAGCTTTGATACTGATGCTAACTTACTTAACTGTGGCATTGGAGAGAAACCAAACTCCTCCTTCCCTCCATCCCCCCCCCACCCCCCCCACCCCAAGGAAGAAATATATATAATATATACAAAGTGCCCAGTTTATTATTCCTTGTGTTGCAGGATACCTAGTGGTATTTTAGCAGACTCTAAATGTACAGTGTCTCATGTCATGTTTTATAACAACCCACCCATCAAACATGCCTTAGTGTTACTGCAAGGTTGCAGTGAACTAAAAACCCTGGACAGGAGCTGACGGGCTCCAGTGCAGCTTATTAACCTGAACTTGTACATTATGTCAGTTATATTTGTCCTATAGAATGTTGTGTAACTTAAAAATACATTCTGGAATCTATCAGATTTTAACTCATTGCACATGGCTTTTCTTTAATGTAATAAATGTGAGGAGACATTCCTGAACAACTGGACAATTCAGTGCTCTGCCCCAATGCTTCACTGTTTTTCACTAGAATGTGTGTAGAATATAACTGTCTTTGTTATAATCAATCTTGCGTTTGTTGTAGTGCCTCTAACGTCGAAACATCTTAAGGTGCTGTTGAACCATTGGAAATACAATAATAATAATCCTTGCATTTGATATAGCGCTTTTCACGACTTTGAGACGTCTCAAAGCGTTTCACAGAATATGCTGTAAAGTGAATTGACTGTATATTTTGTGGGCGAAACAGGGCAGCCAATTGCGCACAGCGGTGTCCCACAAACAGTCGTGGATTGAGTGGCCAATTATAGATTTTTTTTGAGGGATTATTATCTCCAGAAAAGCGATCCGCCAATTGACTAACCACCGGGTTCCTACTTACTGCTAGGTAAACCGAGGCGTGTAGAGTAAGGAAACTTGCCAATGCCCGGCAATAGAAATTAGGTCTCTCGCTTGCGAAGCGCGTGCTCTAACCACTGAGGTACAGGGCTCCAAATGCACCCAGCCAGGTTTGTTAGATGTAATTGCAATGTTACATAGATGTTCTTGCATGCATTTCTACTCCATTACATTGGAATCTCCTGTTGAAACTTACCTGTATTTTTTCTCCTCTCAAGTAAGGTTGGGAAGAGCCCCTGGCTAATTTGGGATTAGGTGCCTAGATTTAAGTGCATCCCACCTAATTGTTACTGCACTGGAGTGCACCCAAACTGTGCCTTTTTTTTAATAAGTACTTGATAAATCAAGACTCTTCATCTTATACTTTTAGAGAATTCTGCTACAAACAGTGCAAACCCGCTTGTTTCATGTTAAGTCTGATGATAATTTGTTCATGGAAATATATTGACAAGAGATAAAACAGAACAAAGGTTTAAAGCAAATGATGTGGGTGATGCCAACTTAGATAAGCTTGAACGCTTATCTGGTATTGAGTTCATAATCACTTGTCCAGATGCAAACATTTGTTTTCTATGTACAGACTAAAGCTACATGTAAAATGCACTGGCAAGCCTGGCCAGTGTACAAATACAATACAAAATGACATTTGTAAAGAGCCTTTCACGTCGGGATGACGTCCCAACTCACTGGCAGTGTTTCTGCCAGAGAAGGGCGACTTTGCAGGGAGCTGCAATGAAATGCAGGTAAAAGTGAGTTCTTATTGATCTGTGGGTAACAGAGCGTTACACTGCATATGTGTGCAATCTGTGGCCAGTTCTCCCAAAGCTTCAACTAAAATGGTCATAAAGGTGAAGGAGAAATATCTATTTGGGCAACTGATGATCCAATGTAAAATCTGCACCTGGTCCTGCACCTGTCTTCGCTTCTCTCCTTTGTTTGTTACTCTTTCACCTGGTTTCTTCCTCCAAAAGCCCCTTTCCAAAGGACAACAAAAGACAACAAATACCCAGCAATGCTCTGGTCTGTTATCTGTGGCGGTTGTGATTACCACAGCTCCAGTTGTGCTCAGCCTCCACAAGTTGTGCCACTTCCTGCTTGGTGCCTCGTACTTTGGTAATTTTTTCGTAGAAATTAGCAGTGGGTCATTACTTACATAGATGAGCCCACCTACTCCTGATTTCCGGCTCTTTTGGACACTGTTAAAATTAATTGGTCTCCACCCCCACACCACCACCCCCTGAATATCGCTCCCTCCCACCCCAATCGTGGAGTCCTGTAGCTCAGTGGTTAGAGCACTCACTTTGCAAGTGAGAGACCTGAGTTCAATTCCAGGCAGAGGGCGAAACCTTGGGCAAGTTTCCTTACTCCACACAGAGCCTAATAATAATCCCTCCAAAACCAAAAACAATAATAAATTGGTCATTTTCAATCTACGACTGTTTGTGGGACATTGCTGTGCGCAATTGGCTGCCGCGTTCGCCCACAGATATACAGTCAATTCACTTTACAGTGTGTTCTGTGAAGCGCTTTGGGACGTCCTCCGGACATGAAAAGCACTGTATCAAATGCAAGGATTATTATTATTATTATTATCCCATTAAATGCTCGTGTCTTGTGTCAGAATCTAATCGAGTTCTTTCCAAATTTATGGTGGGAAAGAAAATCTGGCTTAAAATAAGTGTTGGCCTTTACCTCCAAAATCAGCCAGTGGTGAATGTTAATCTTCCCTTTGCCAGATAACTAACCAAAACAACAACAACTTGCATTTATATAGCGCCCTGCACCTGGTGCAGCATTTCGGAACGCTTAATCCTAACTGCCTGAGCAGTGATTTCTGCTAACGGGTTTTGGGATGGGTATCTATCTATGCCTCTGCTTTTTTTCTCTCCTGTGTCGTGCGCTCATTTGGTCTTCTGCACATTTTCTCTCCTCACTTATCTCATTTTCCCTCTTGCATCCACCCTGATAGCAGCACTTTGTCCCCCTGATAACTTTGCTGTGTGCAATTGGTGGCAGCCAATTGCACAGAGCGGTGTCCCACAAACCGTCGTGGATTGAGTGTCAATTTTGTTTAGTGCTCCAACTAAGCTATGCCAGAAGCAGCCCCTTAAATCACAAGCTAAATGTCCTGACTGACTCAAATACAGAACCCTCAAACCAAAGAGTTTAAATCAATGAACTTTGGGAGCGGGAGGAAAAAAAAAACTCTTTGTGACTGACAACCCCTCTCCTCCTCCCTCCAATTTAGCAGAAAACTTAATTTGTGATTCAAAGCAGCCACAAAGCCATTTAAAAGCAGTTTGCTGTGGCAGGATTTCAGTAACGTTCGAATGCCTGTGCACCTCAAAGCCAAAGCAGCCTCCAGGAAAGGTGCATTGCTTTAGATGTTTGAAGGTGCAATTACAAAGGAAATCACAAGTTGCAATCAGAGCATTTGTTGCTGTTGTTGGTAATGTCATATTTAAATATTTATTTGATCCTTGTTAGTGGTATCAGGTGCTATCAGTGACTCTGAAAATGCAGTGGTTTTACAGTTACCAGTGGGGCCTTGCTAACACTTTGTGTTAAACCCATTGTTCTGCTAACTCAGTTTAAGTTCATGTCAGGTAGAATTAATATCTTTCTCCACAATAATTGGTAATGGGATATATAAGAGTTCAGGTAATGTCACTTCAGTTCCCAATGAACCGAACTCTATGGCACATTGCGTCAAATTTGCAGTATTTCTTAATGGGTTTGTTTACAACAACAAAATCACATTAAAAGAGTGCCTTTTACGTCGGGAGGACGTCCCAAAGCGCTGAACAGTCAGATGTCAGGGTCCGAGCATGGGGGAAGGGGTGGTGTAGGGGTGAGGGAAGAGAGGTGGGAGGGAGACCAAAGGTACGGTCGAAGAGAAGGGTCTTGAGACCGGCCTTGAAGGAGGCAAGGGAGGAAATGAGGCAAAGGGACTGTGGGATGGAGTTCCAGAGTGTGGGGGTAGAGAGGCTGAAAGCCCGGCCACTGATGGTAGGGCGGGTTAGGCGGGAGACGTGGAGCAGACCGGAGCCTGCTGAACGGAGGGAGCGGGCAGGTTGGTAGGAAGTCAGCAGGTCAGAGGTAGGAGGGGGCAAGGCCATGGATGGCCTTAAAGGTGAGGAGGAGGATCTTGAACTCGATCCTCTGGGGGATGGGGAGCCAGTGGAGTCGGGCGAGGGTGGGAGTGATGGGGTCATGGAGCCTGGTGGGTGAGAGTACACGAGCTGCAGAGTTTTTGCTTAATAACTAATCTGAGTTGAAGCAATGGGAACTCCTAGTAACCGTAAATGCATCAACCCAAGCGAGGAGAACTCCGCGACTAATGCCATCTACACCTGGAGTAGAGTTCTTATCTGCTCTGTAAGTTAGCTCCCACTGTCAGTAACTGTAACTGGTCCCGAAGAATAGACAGCAGATGAAATCTACGCTATGTGATGTTTGAGGAGGAGGAAGGTTATTATAGGATCCCACACTGCAACCGTCCTAGCAAAGCATGATGGTGCTGCCCTTATTGTCTCCCACACCAGGCTCCTCACGTGTGTCTCTCAGGCTAGCCAAACTCCAAATGATATCAATTACCCGAGCAGACCAACTTCAGACTTTTGTCCTGACCTTGAAATCCTTTCATGGTCTTGCCAACGTAATTTCCTCCAGCTTCATTCTGCCTAATACTCTCTGCTTTTTTGACGGCTCATTGCCCAATCCCTCTACGTCTTGGCCTTCAACCACTATAGCCTCTGTTCTCGAGAACTTTCTCTTTTGTAGAATCACATTAATTTGTTCCTTCTCTCGCTGCTTTAAAAATGCTCTAAAAAAACAGTCTCTTTGATCGTGTCCGGTCAATACGCTTCAACTCCTCTGCCCTGTTCTCTATCATCTCTAAACCGCTTTGAGACGTTCATCCCATGTGAAAGGAAATATGCGAGCGCATGTTCTTGTACTGAGACTGAATTCAATGGGACAGGGAAGGAATGGAACAGTCACAGCACAGAGGGGCAGCAATAAAAATAATAATCCTTGCATTTGATACAGTGTCTTATAACGTCTTTGAGACGTCTCAAAGCCCTTCACAGAATATACCCGAAAGTGAATTGACTGTATATTATCTGGGCAAAATAAGTACCCTATTTACCATCTAAACACTGTTCTTACTTTCCAGATGGGGCACTTTGTGGAGGGATCTGAAGTTTACAAAAAAAAGTCTCAAATGCTTTGCAGGTTGGATCATTGGCTGCCAAAATAAGCAATGTTTTCCTTTCACTTTACAGACCATTTTATTTGAACCTTTTATGAAAACAGGTCACAGCTTGTACACACAAGCTTTGCAACTCTCTGCTACATAGTCACCTGTATCTCATTATTGCTCACTGTAAAGTAGACCCTTCTCTGGCAGCTGGGATGACCGGTCTTGCCAATGCGTTTTACATGTGGCTACAGTCTACAAGTGGAAAATACACTTTGTCGGGACCTGGACAAGTAGTGATAGACTTAATAGCTGACAAAGTGCCTGGGATTATCTAGGTTGATGTCCACTCACATCGTCCTTCATTATAAACTTAAATTGACCTATTCAGTTGTACAGACAAGATAATAATAATAATAATCCTTGCATTAGATATAGCGCCTTTTTGCATCTTCGAGAGAGATTCTT